AGCTGAGTAACACTCCGTTGTGTAAATGTACCACATTTTCTTTATCCATTCCTCAGTTGAGGGACATCTAGGTTGTTTCAGGTTCTGACTATTACAAATGAACTGCTATGAACATGAGTGAGCAAGTGTCCTTGTGAAATGATAAGTGGATGAGGGGGCAGGATGGGAGGAGGGAGGGAAAATTTGTTAATCAATTTAAAAATTCAATAAACGTTTATATGGGTGTTTTTCCTGCATGTGTACATGCATGGCGTGCCTGGGGTGCCAGAACCCCAGGAACTGGAGTTACAGTTGTTTGTGAGATGCTATGGCAGTGCTGGGAATTGAACCTGGGTCCCCTTCAGGAGCAGCAAGCACTCTGAAGAGAAGCACAGGCCTCTCCCCAGGCCCCATGAATACTTGCTGCTCTTGCAGTAGACCAGAGCTCACTTGCCAGCACACACATTGTGTGGCTAAAACTTCCTGTAATTCTAGTTCCTGAAGATCTGACCCCTTTCCCTCTGGTACCTGCTCATTACCTCTCCTTTCCTCTCCTCTTCCCTCCCCTCCCTTCCTCCCCTCCCCTCCCCTCTCCCTCTCTCTTCCTCCCTCCCTCCCTTCCTCCCATACACACACACACACACACACACACACACACACTCTCACACATACAATTTTGAAATAAGATAAATCTTTTTACAAAGAGATAGGGTATCTCAATGGATAGCGCTTACTCATTTCACCTTTAAAGACACTGACTGAAAATGTTCAGGACGACTAAGGGGTGGCTCAACAGCAGACAGTGTCTGCACAGCACGGCAGCCCGGTTCAGTCCATAAGGCACACATGCAGACATGTACACAAGGAAGAAAGGAAACGGAGGAAAACCAAAATGTAAAAACAATCTTTTCTCACCACCATACTGTAAAACTAGAAATCAGTAACAGGAGAAATTGCAAAAACTTCCCAGTTTGTGGAAACCAAATATAGTTCCTAAAATAAAAAGTAAAAACAAACAAAATTCCAGTGAGTCAAAAAAAAAAAAAAAAAAAAGGAAAATTAAGTATTTTTCACTTGAGATAAATGAAAACAAACCGTTTGCCGGGACTCCCCATATGCAGCCACAGCAATGCTAAGAAGGGACGTTTGTGGCGATCCATACCAACATTTAAAAGGACTCCTTAGGGCAGCGAGGCCTGCCAACCTGAGCTTGATCCTCAGAACCCAGAAAAAAAGCGGAGAGAACCAATGCCACAAACATGTCCTCTATCCTCAAATGACCACCAACACTTACACGATAATAAGTATTTTTTAATCTGAAAGATCCCAAACAACCTAACATTTTATCTGCTGTCTACAAGACGATGACAGAGAGAAGCCTGAAATTTGTAGGAAGCACAGGGTAACACAGAGGAGAAAGGATTAAAAGGAGACCAGGAAAGTGACCTAAGAGGTGGGGACACCCTCGGGGCTGGAGAGATGGTTCTGAGGTTCGGAGCACTGGCTACGCTTCCAGAGGACCCAGGTTCAAGTCTCAGCACCAATGGTAGTTCACAACTGTCTAGAACTCCAGTTCCAGGGGATCTGGCACCCTCACACAGGCAAAACACCAAAAAAATTAAATAAATTATTTTTTAAAAAAAGGTTTGGATAGCCCTGTTAGAGGAAAAAAAAATCAATAAAACGTCAGCTGGACGAAGTAAAAAAGACAGGACTCAAAATGAAAATGTGTTCATTCCAACCAACACGACAGAGATACAAAGGATGGTAAGATGAAGTGCAGCGGCTGCATGGTGATACACTGGACAACCAGGAGAAAACTGTGTATTATTTATCCACCATTTATCCACCAAGGTGAAATCATGAATAGAAAAGTTTGAACAGACCAGTGGTAAGAAGACTGAATCATTAAAGTCTGTCATTAAGAATGATGAAGGACCTCAGCCACACACACACACACACACACACACACACACACACACACACACACACACGCACCATACTCATACACTACAGAGAGAGAGAGAGCATGAGGGAGCTAATAAATCCACTCAGCAAAGTGCCAGGCTACAAAATAAACATAAAACTCAGTTGCATTCCTATGCCCTGAAAAACAAAAGAACCCTATATGGAAATTAATTTAGTCTATGCATCAAAAGGAATTGTTTAGGGATACCTTTAACCAAGAAAGAGAATGACTTATGGACTGAAAACTACAAACAATGCTGAATGAAATTAAAGACCTAAGTGGAGCGACACCTCAAGTTCACATTCCGTAAGATTTAAAATTTCAACAGAATGGCACGACCACACAAAGCATTCCCTAGATTTAGTGCAATCCTATCAAAATCACAATCATTATAAAACGGGTATGAACCCAAAGGACACCAATTATCAAAGCAGTAAGAATGCAAATCTAAGGCCAAGCACGGTGGTACACATGATCCTAGCACTGGAGAGGCCGAGGCAGGTGGATCTCTGTGAGTGCCAGGCCAGCCAGGCCACGCAGTGAAACTGTTTTAAAAAGAAAAGAAAAGAAATTTATAAGACTCACAAGTCCTCATTTTCACACTTACTTCAAAGCTCTATGTCAAAACAGGGTATTTCTGGTGTGAGGACAGATACAAAAGAGCCAGAGATAGGCTTACGTGGTACAGTTGAGTGATTTTTCAAATACGGGTACCAAGACCATTTGATGGGACAAAGAGAGGTAGGGTTTTGTGTTTTGTCTTTTTTCAACAAGAGGGCTAGGAAAACTGGATATCCACATGTAAAAGAAGAGAGGAGGAAGGAAGAAGGGATTTTTGCACCATATACAAAAACCAAATGAAAACTGATCAAAAACCAAGATTAGTGACACTGAATTTAACAATTACTATGACACCAAAAAACACAAGTAACAAAAGTAAGTTGGGTTATTAAATTTCAAAACTTACTCATCAAAAGTATGATGATTCCCTGGGTCAACCTAAGATGCAGGCCTCAGACTGAACAAAAAGGAGCAAGCAAGCTGGGCACCAGCAGTCAGCTCTCTACTTCCTGACAGCAGACACAATGTGACAAGCTGCCTCTGACACTAGCTTTCTTCATGTGAAGGACTGTATCCCCTGAAAGTGTGAGCCAGAACAACCCCTTCCTTCCATAAGTGGCTTTTGTCTGGTATTTCATCATGGCATCAAGCAAAGTAAGACTACAATGAAAAAGGCAAATCAGAATGGTAGAAAATATATGCAAGTCATATTCTGACAAAGAACTAATATGTATGCTCAGCATGCAAGAGGCCCTGTGTTCAATTTTCAGCACAGGAAAGAAACCTTGACTATGACAAAGGACTCACACCATTCAACAAGGCACAACAGAAGCCAATTTTTAAAATGAATAAAGGGCCTGATGATATGTCTCCAAAAATATACAAGTGGCTAGTAAGAACAAGAAAGGGGGCTCAAAATCAGTAGTCACTTTAGCAATGCAGATCAAACCACAAGGAAACCACATTTCATATGCCTGTGGATAATTATTATTGATAAAATAAAAAGTCCCACATTCTCACATCTCAGGATGTAGAGCAGCTGGTGCCTTTCTGGTGGACATGTAAGATATAGAGCCCTGTGGACATTTCCAGCTCCTTGAATAGGTGAAGCATGAACTTAAAAAACACAACTTGTAAATTAAGTCAGGTAGTATTATTCAGAGCTACAAAGAAGAACAACCCAATAGCCACCAGCAGACAAAGGCATAGACAGACTATGGTATAAACATGTAAAGGAGTACTATTCAGTGGTAAAAGGAATAAATTTGGATGTGTGACATGTAAATACTGAAAGCATACCAACTGGTTAAGCCAGACACAAAGGACAAATATTTTCACTCCATCCAAGTACAGAAGCAGCAAATCAAACACCAAGTAAAGCAAAGGGCGTGATGGCTCAGTAACTGATAGTCTGGAAATAACGACTGCAACACCGAATGTGCCCAGTGGCACTGACACCCTTCAATGGCTCAGTGTGTCTACGTACGCCACAGAAAGGAAGATGTGCAGAAGAGTATCACTACCACACTCTACCACGACCTCGGGTGACTGCTGTCTTCTGGTACGTGTGCCTTTATGAAAACTCCTCCTGTTGAGTATGAGCTGGACTCAGTGACCATTTCTTTTCTTTGTTGGTTTTTGGTTTGGAGACAGGGTTTCTCTGTATAGGCCTGGCTCTCCTGGAACTCAAATTGTACACCAGGCTAGCCTCAAACTTCAGAGATCCATTCGTCACTGCCTCCCAAATGCTGGGATTAAAAGCATGTGCCACGGCCACTAGTGACCCATTTCTAACAAACAAGGAGAGGTAAGTGACTGTGTGACTTGGACTCTTGGTCATAAGGAAACAAGCACTGCTTTCTTCCCGGTCACTTATTTGGGTAAGTCAGGTTCCACGCTGCCATGCCATCAAGAGCCACGAACACATCCCCATGTGGAGGACTGCCGTCAACATTCACACAAGCTCACCTAGAGCAGGCCCTCCAGCCTAGTCAAGCTTTGATGACATCACCCTTCTGTACCCCAAGTCAAAACACCCAGCCCACCTACTCCTGGCTTTGACTCTCAGAAACTGTGGTGATAAGAAATAACATGCCAGGGACGTGGGAGCAACGTTAAAGTGAGGGTCCGAGGGGCACACCAATCAAAAATGCTCAAGTATTATATAAGTTTGTAATTCCTAATAAAATAATGTTCCATGTTAATCTGTGCATTATGAGTAAGGTACAGAAAGAGGAACGGGGCTGGAGGGACAGTTGGGCAGTCAGGTACACCGGATGCTCTTACAGGACTCCAGCTCGGTTCTAAGCACCTATCTACAGCCATCTATCTCTCTTGCCTCCATGGGCATCAGCCATTCACATGGTAAACATACATACACATGAGCACTCACACATAAAAACAGGTAAGTTTATTTAAAATTAAACGAAAATGTCCATCTTACAGGGACAAGAAAGTCAGCAGCTGATACTGAGACAACCTGAACCAAATCTCATTGGCATTAAAAGCTTTTATTGGGAATATCATCCACAATCTATACAAGTTATGTACAAGGCATGAAAATGGAAAACAGCACAAAATACAATTGAGGTATAAGCTAAGAGCACAGTATGTCATGTTTCAATAAATATAATCCAAAATTTGTAAACTAAGTAACCAGATAGATGAATATTTTTTTTTAGTAAAACCATATAAAATATTTATTTCACGTGAGGTAGAGGACAGTTTTGTGTGTCATATAATGCAACCAACCACAGCAATTTTAATCATAAAACTATACACATTGGCAAAATTACCAGTTGAATTATGCTCAATCTAGTCAATGTGCTTCAGTAGTTGCAGAAGGGACCTTTCACGTACTGCCTTCACAGGTTGGAAACTGAGGAATAACTGAGGACTGTTACGCTGCCTTCAAACTACCAAGGGAAGGACGCCAGCAGAAGCTAACGGCAACTACGTTTATCACAAACTCTAACAACGCAAACCAGGTCGCAGGTCCAGCAATTACTTTAGTAGGGTGTCTGCATGAGAAGTACTGTAAGTGTGCTGTGCTTTCTGTTTTTTCAAAGTGAGGTATCTATATTGAAGAAAAAATCTTATAAATTTCTTTTATACTAAACTAACTTTAAACACTATTTTGTTTTCTGGGCTTAATTTTAAAATGTTTTATATTTGATCACTTCCTAATTCCAAAACAGTAACACTATATATGACATTTAATTCTATTTCTAAACAGGCTTCAAATTGTATTATGCATTTTTAAAAGCCATTTAAGTGGGAAGATTAAAAAAGACTGTCCTTTTAAACAAGATACAATACAAAATACCCATATATGTTTTTCTCCCAACAGTGGAAATGCTTAAGTATCTTACACTAGAAAAAGAAAAAATTAAGTTCTGTTTAAATATCTCAGTCCACAAGGATAATATATAATGCAGCAGTTCCTATCACATATTGCTGATTGCTTCCATGAAACCATTAACAAGCAGACCTAAGAGCCAGAGCAGATGTACAGGAAGAACATACTTTGTCATCAGTTTGTAATGTCCGCCTTAAGGATTGAAGACACGATGGACAAATGAAAACCAGCGTCCTTCCCTACTCACTCAAGCACAGCAGAGCGCACCTTCCGGAAGCGGGTCGAAGCCCTTCAGAGGCGGCCCTGCAGCTGCTGTCCGGGAAATACCTCGGCCCCTTCCTACGGCTTGTGTCCCCTTTCATTTTGCTTTTCTGCAAACAAGCCACAGACACACGAAGGGACTGGTTGTTCTGAGGTGACTTTCAAAGGACACAGGAGCCTGTGAACAAAGTGTGCTCCCGGTTTCATCCACTCCAGTCTGCCTTATAATTCACTATGTACAAATGAGTTTTTTCATTATGCCTTCCCACCCCTGTACAAAAGATTTTACATATAAACAGGTTATATATTAAATGTTATAAAATCAGCTCAAGAAGCATAAAACATCCTTATTCTCAAAAACACAAGAAATTCAAGCAAAAGAATATATTTCAAAAATATTAAAGCCCAAGCCAAACCTAAGTTGTTGGTCAATCCTTCTCATGTTCAAAGTCTTGGTTGTGATTGGCAGGTAGTTAAGGGTCTCCCTGACAGCAGGAGCTCCCAAACTTGGACCACAGAGAGAAATCATCACCACACAGCAAGCATCACTCATCTCTCAGTGTAAAGCTAACACGGTCTTTCCTCCACTTGAGCAAACTCTACAGTCCACTCCTAAATACAGCTTTCCAGAGTAAATGGTCTCATTTTCTCCTAAACAGAATATGAAGTCTGAGGAAAAATCTGCTTGCCTAGTGAACTTGGCACAACACACAAGACCTAACACCAAAGCAAACTTTAAGTTAGCAACCAGCACACAAAATGAACATGCATAAAATAAGTTTCACATGGAAATTTAAGCAGCAGTCACTTCGGGAGTATTACAGAATTTCATTTTGTTTTTAAGCTATATGGTGCAATGTAACTTAAAGTTACTTTTAACAGTAGTAGGTATAATATTTACAGTTGATTAAAAATTATTTTTAAGGAAGTTCAGACAGAAAACTATGGCACATCCTTTCATCTTCTGGAAAGTAAAGACTATGCTATATAATGTCATGAGGCAAGTTTCACTGAAAGACTAGAAGAATTACATTTACTACAGTAGCACATAAGAACAGTCTTGAGTCAGAAAAATAAAGGTGTAAGTCTCCGTCCCACATAGCCAAGCTGCGCTATAACTAACTGATAACTAAGCTAAAGCTATTTTACAAATGTCTGCTTTTTCTTTCTCCATATCTAAATAAAATGACATACATGGGCCCTGTGCAATTCAACATCTGCTTCTCCTCAAGGAGGTTACAAAGTCAACACATTAAATTAGAAAGCTCACATAACGGAGTAAATCCACATTTATGTCACAACATATTTAGAAAGCAAACTCCCTTTTGGAAAGTAGAAAAGCTGCTTGTCAATGTATCATGAAACAAAATATGACCACAGCAGGCACATGCTAACGAGGGCTCTGATGTCCCACACCACTAGAGTAGTGACAGCCTTAACTCTAAGGTACTCCTGAGCACAGACGTCAAGTCTCTTCACGCAGTGACACGAGACAGCTTGGGAAACACAACACCGACGGCGCGGACGCTGCCTTCAGGAAACTCCCTAAAAGCCACCACGGCAGGTGTGGAGGCCCGCACCTGTGAACCCAACACTTGGGAGGCAGAGGCGGGAGGAGCAAGCCCTGCGATTTGGAGGGGAAGCAAAGACAAAAGAAAAAACACAATGTAAATTTCAAGGCAAGCATCAACTAATGTGAAACTTGCTGGTAAAAATGTCAGACTTTAATGTGCAAAAAAATAAAACAAAGTGCAGAGACTGCCCTTCCCCAAATCATGGAATTCTATGTCATCTAAAAATTATCTAAAATTCCTGCTAGTAGCAGATACTTCAATTGTGGATTGTTAACCTATCAGATACTATTAGCTGACTGTAAATTCCTGATTTTAAGATTAAAGAGTCATAATGGTCCATTCGTGCAAGTTTTAACATTTAAACATACAAAAGTCCAAAATAAACTTCAAGATATTTAATATTTTATAATTTAAAAGAAAAAATTCATTATATAAATCTCAGTAAGACCTTTATAAGACTACATATAAAAACTATACAAGAGGATTATGAATTACATAGGAACCAATGTACATCAGTGGAATCCATTTTCCTCATAAAGATGAGTATTTTTACACCACTATTAATAAAAGTTCAGAAATCATTTTAATTTTCTGAAGTCACATACACATATCTAGATATAGCCACTCTTAAACCGAAAGACAAATTACAACTGCTTCTTGTGTGCAGCATCAGGGCAGGGCAAAGCATGCCCCTCACCAATGGATGTTAGGGTGGTGGTACTCTCATTCCATCAGTAAAATTCCTCCTAGGAGGAACCTCATCCCACAGCCTGAACAAAATAAAAAGAGACTTGGTATATAAAAAAAAAAAAAAAAACGAGGAGATTCAGCCTGGCGGTGGCATCGCACACCTTTAGTCCCAGCACTTGGGAGGCAAAGGCAGGCAGATCTCTGAGTTCGAAGCCAGCCTCGTCTACAGAGTGAATTCCAGGACAGCCAGTACTACACAGAGAAACCCTATCTTAAAAAACTTAAAAAAAAAGAAGATTCTGTCGTCATAAGATATTCCGTAATGAGAAGGAAGACACAGAGTTGAGTAGCTCTGTATCATAAATATCACCACCGTATCTAAAAATCGAGCCTGAAATATGCGTAACAGAATCGACACAGCTATTTCCCACCACATATGCAGCTTTGAAAAGCATGTAACTGTTAGGCTTGCCTTAGAAAGACAGGCAGACCGTCTACAGCTGGAATTACACAGGCTATCATTACCAAGCTGACTGGAAAAGAACAAAGAAGCATACATTTCATTCATTTGGAAAACGGAAAAATTATGTACTAATAGAGAATCTCTTCACTTTGCTGCCCTACAAATGAACAGAGTATCTAGTTATCTTCATGCAGATAAAGTAAGACGACAGAACTCAATGTCCAAAGCAAGTGACAGACACAAAGCCCTGTCACCAATGCAGACGCGTCTCTCCTCCGGCTCCTACTCCTTGGTGGTCTTTGCTGATTTCACCATCTGTGCCTTCAGCTCCTTTATCATCAGCTCTAACTTCTGCCTCGCCTCCCGCTCCTGTCTCAGTTCATCCTGGAGCTCTTGCCGGTCCGCTTCAGCATGGTCTAGTCTCTGCCTCAGTTCTGCCAACTGGAGGATTTAAAGACGGTTAGTTTTCCATCACTTAGGATTTCCCATTTCATCATCTTACCATAGTTACAAAACAAACTGTCTTTGCTCTTTACAAAATGAACTGTTTTCATGCAATCTCGGGACACCTAGTTCTTCTGACACCGACACGCTAGGGAACCGTAGGGATGGGAGTGTCAAGAGTGTGCAGCACACTCACAGAGGCTTACGGCATCACCCCGCCCCTCTCCACAGCTCATCTTCATATTCGTGATTGTAGTGACAAAGTGACTCATGCTTGCTAACTGGAATAAAAGCTCATCTTACTATAGCAAAATAACAAAAACTATATTCTATTTATTTATTCATTTACGTGGTGCTAGAGATTGAACCCAGGGTCCCATGCATGTTAAGCAGGTGTTTAATACTCATCCATATCCCTAGCCCAAAAAGATGCAAAACTTTATACAGAGAGTACTAGACATTAGTAATTGAGATAACCAAATTACAGAATCCCAATTAAAACTGAAAATAATAAAGGTTAAAAAATCTTATTGGAGGCAGGTGTGGTGGTGCACATCTTAAATCCCAGCATTTGGGAAGCAGGCAGATCTCTGTGAGTTAGAGGCAATACTACAAATTGATACCCTCTCCCCATAGCCCCACCAAAAAAGGGGAGGGGAGAGAGAGAAAGAGAAGGAGGTAGGGAGAAATGGAGGGTGGGAGAGAGAAACAGAACTATCTTAGTGGAGATACACAGCTGCGCTTAAACCAGTTTTCCCTTCTGAAGGCCAGCTGGCTGGGCAAAAGGAATTCCTTGGCAGCAAGCATCCACACCTGCCACGCTAGCAGACCGGCCACGCTAACAGACCGGCCACGCTAGCAGACCGGCCACGCTAACAGACCGCCACGCTAACAGACCGACCACGCTAACAGACCGCCAAGCTAGCAGACCGGCCACGCTAACAGGCTGGCCCGCCCACTCTCACCTGTGCCGCGTACTCAGCCTCCTTGTCTTTCTCTAAGTTTGAGTCACAGGTGCATTTCTGCTTCATCACCTGCTCCAGCTTCTTCTCTAAGTCTCTCTGTTCAGTGTAGAATTCCTCCATCCGCTGAGCATGCTCATTCTGCAGAGACTCAAGTTCTTTCTGGAGACTCTGCTGCTCTTCAGTGAGCTCCTTCATTGCCTTTGAGCTGCTCAACATGTCCACTTCCTGTAACAGAGCCACAGTTCTTTATTTCCATCCCCTTAGGAAAAAGTAAGTCACAAGGCATTTAAAGCTCAGCTATGGTAGCCTGTGTATATAGAAGTGACTGACGTCAAGAACTGCTTCTTAGTATAAAACGGAACCACCGAGTCCACTGCGGTATCTCGTTCTGACTCTGTTATCATGAAAAGCTATCGTAACAATGACTATTTCTTAAGGCAACTTACCATCTGAAGCTGTTGCTTCTTCTGCAGAATTGAATTCAGCTTCTCCTGCTGTGTTACATAGGTTCTCATCACTTCTTCCATGATCTTCCCCTTGTCATCCTCACAAGTACCATCTCTGACCGGAAACGGAGAGACAGCTTCAGCAGCACGCTTGCTGACGTCTCTCACTAAGCCGCAAACAGGAGACTCAGATTTCTTTTTACTCATAGAGCTATTTGAGATCAGTGGATCTTTGGAAAGAAACAGAAGAAGAAGAAAAAAGGGTTACTACCAAGGGTAAAAGGTCACCAGAACAACCCCTAAGTGATTCACTTATTAATCAATTCAGAAGCAATGCAACACTCAAGGAAGGGATTAACAAAGGCGGTGCCACTGTGGACAGCGACGGTCACAGAGAAGCTGACACACGAAGACAGAAGCCCACGCTCACGGACTACAGACTTAACCTGCTCAGTGCAATCCACATCAAAACCCCAGCACAGAAACCAACTAGCTCATTCTAAGATTCATACTGAAACGTGAGCAATTCAAGGTTTGCTCAAACAACCTAGAAAAACAGTCATCAACTTGGGAGGGCTCATAAGCCCCAGCCTCAACTCTTCCTACAAGCTACAGAGATCACAATGTGTGGCTGGCCCAGTGCTTGCCACCTAAGTGTGAACCCCTGAGTTTGAGGCCCCAGCACCCTCGTACAGCCGTGTGCAGGGGCACACTTTTGTAACCACAGCCTTCCTAAGGAAAAAGGCAGATGCACAGGGGTCCCAGAAGCTCAAGAGACAAACCTCAAGGGCATCTCAAGGTGGGAGGTGAAGACCCACTCACAAAGTAGTCCTCTAACCTCCAAATGCCTCCACACACAAATCTATATGTGTATATGTACACAAGACACACTGTACACACATACACAATCACAACTCTGGTGCTGACATAAGACTAGACATTAAATCAGCAAAAAGGAACTCAGAGTCCAAGTGCTCACTTCAACAGCATGCATCCATGCTGAAAGTAGAAGGATTCGGAATTAGACATGGCCTCTGAGCAGGGATGACATGCAAACCTGTGAAGCATTCCCTATGGTTAGTGCAGAGTATAATGACATGGATGTATGATAATATAATGGAGCCTAGAATTCTGTGTGGTAAGTTAAAAAGATAACGAAAAAATTCAGAATCCAAGCCAGGAATTAGGTAAGTGACAACATACACCTGTGATCCAACACACAGGAGGTTGATGTTGGTCACAAGCTCAAGACCAGGCTGGTCTACCAGTGAAGATCTTGTTTCAAAACCTCAATTCTCCAGAACTCGAGTCCAGAAATAAACCCATACTTTTATCAATTGCCATTACTATTGTTCCAAGACAATTCAATCAGCAAAGAACAATCTTTTCGACAAATGAACAGCAATACTAACATGTAAAGAAACAAACAAAAAAGAAATGGGACTCCCCACTGTATATAAATATTAATTCAAGGTCAGGCGGTGGTGGTGCATGCCTTTAATCCCAGCACTTGGGAGCCAGAGGCAGGCAGGTCTCTGTGAGTTCAAGGCCAGCCTGGGCTACCGAGTGAGTTCCACAACAGAGAAATCCTGTCTCGAACCTCCCCCGCCCCCACCAAAACAGTATAACTATTAACTCAAAATGACCTAAATATTAGATCAAGGAATTAACTGTAAGAGCTGAAAACATTAAGTATAAATCTTCCAGGCCTTGGACTAGACAATGCTTTCTTAGGTATGACACCTGAGATAAGAAGGCAAATTAAACAAACTGAACTGTGTAAAATTGCAACCTCTTTTGATCTAAAGTGTCCAGAATAAGCACATCCACTAGACCACATAAGAAGCCAAAGGGAAAGGAGAATGGGGTGACTGCCAGAGGGTGCCAGGGACTCATGTGGGGGGCATGAAAATACTCTGGGATCAAACAGTTGTGACGCTTTCCACAACATTATTATACTTAAGACAGATAAATCACACACTTTTAAGTTCTATGGTATGTCAAAGGCACCTCACGGTTTTTCAGATTTAGTTTTTATATGCACGTGTGTTTTGCCTGCACGTGTGTCTGTATATCATGTGTATATATGTATGGTTCCTGTAGCAGAGATTAAACCCCCTGGAACTAGAGTTACAGGTAAGTTGTGAGCCACCATGTTGGTGCTGAGAATCAAACCCAGGTCTTCACTTAGAGCAACAAGTGCTCTTAATTGCTGAGCCATCTAATAAATAGGAAAGCAAACAATGCAAATGTAATGACACGTGAATTATTATCACCAGTTCAATTCAGAGGAAACGGAGTCACAGCATCAAAAGCTCGAATACCGGAGGCTGAGGACTTCCCCGCAAGGCCCTGAGCAAAGCAGCGGGCTCAGCGGCCCACAGCAGCCATGTGCACAGCTCTCCGGTGCCCTCGGCATTCTTAAAGGCACAGGACACACACAGGTTTGCTTTGCGATTCCAGCCTGCACCTGCACCACTGCCGTCTGTCTGCCTTGCTTTACTGTGTCAGCAGCCCCAGTCTGCATCTCCTGAACCACGAGTTCAATGTCAAATACTTAACATCAGGTAAACGGCATCTCAGTTCACACAAAGTCGGAAAACAAGACGAGGAACTGCTGAAAAATTCTACCAACAAGAGCACGGAGCAAGTGACAGGCATATGCACTGAAGCCATGCACTTCCTCTTTCCTCAGCCTCCACAGGCCGCCGCCACTCTAGAAAGCTCACCACTGACGTGTAAAGAAATCACCCTGAATTTTCCAAGTTAGAACTGTTTGAAAGTAAAAGCTGTGATTATATGGGGGAGGGGGTACCTTAAATAGGAAAGGCTTTTAAAATACTGATTAAATGTGTTTTTAACTAGCTGATTTTAAAGATAGAACTTCTAAATACTTACCTGAACGAGTGCATAAGTCTCTACTTGTTTTCAAATCCATTTTCTCCTGTTCCTCGAGTGAGACGTCTGGGTAAGACACTGTTTTCTGATGTTTACTACTACCACGAGTCTTTTCTGACTGTTTGGAGAGGAACTTACTTGTCTCTGTCTTGGTAATCTCTTTAGACTGGGATGCAGCAGATGTGAGTGAGACATTCGGTGCAACCACTTTATCACACATGTACAAGTAGTAGCTGAAAACAGAGGCAAAACAAAACACACATTACATATTATGCTTAAGCATAAATTAAGATGTGGCATCTTTCTATAAACCCAATTCTATGCTACTAAACAATCAATGTAAAAATACAAAGACTGGAGGTCACAGAAAAGATTTCTTAGAAAAAAAAGTCAGCACTTGCTGTGGGATGGTCTGTATGTCAAATTGCTCTGATTGGTCAATAAATAAAACACTGATTGGCCAGTGGCTAGGCAGGAATTATAGGCGGGACTAACAGAGAGGAGAAAAGAAAGAACAGGAAGGCTGAAGGAGACACTGCAGCCACCACCATGACAAGCAGCATGTGAAGACACCGGTAAGCCACGAGCCGCGTGGCAAGGTATAGATTTATGGAAATGGATTAATTTAAGCTATAAGAACAGTTAGCAAGAAGCCTGCCTCGGCCATACAGTTTGTAAGCAATATAAGTCTCTGTGTTTACTTGGTTGGGTCTGAGCAGCTGTGGGACTGGCAGGTGACAGAGATTTGTCCTGACTGTGGGCAAGGCAGGAAAACTCTAGCTACAAGCACTTAAATTAAGGACAGCAAAATTCTGAGGGATTTTGTTATTTTAAGAGTAATTTCAAAATACTAAAAAGATACCGAAGGAAAAAAAAAGTGAGTCTCTTCCTCTTCCCTCAAAAGCACTTCAGAACTGAAACCATGAAACACCAGCTATGATCCCTCACATTTATAATCCCAAGACCTGGGAGCTGAAACAAGAGGGCTGCCATGAGTTAAAGTTAGCCTGGGCAACATAGAGATTCCCAGGCATGCTTCCCCAGGCTGTACAGTGAGATCCCATCTCAAGACACGAATAACTATAGGCATGGAGTTCTTCATGGAGCATCTCAACAGCTCCGCTTCAGTGAGGCTTGCTGCAGAGAGTGAAGAGGATGTAGGCTATTCTGGGCACCTATCTGCTTACCCACAGGTAAGCAGTGTTTGACAGTGAGGCTGAATCAATGAGGTAACCCCAAGGACCTTCTTATACGCCTCAGAGAGAGAAGACATTCTTGAACTATTGCCCAGCTACCAGGCAATGCTTCCATCAAAACCTGTCTAAGTTAGGGTTTCTATTACTGCAATGACACACCACAATCAAAAGCAAGTTGGGGAGGAAAGGGTCTATTTGGCTAAAGGAAATCAAGACAGGAACCTGCAGTAGCTGATGCACAGGCCATAGAGGGGTGCTGCTAACTGGCTTGCTCCTCATGGCTTGCTGAGCCGTGTTCTTATAGATCCCAGGACCACCTGCCCAGGGATGGCACCACCCACCATGGGCTGGGCCCTCTCCCATCAATCACTAATTAAGAAAATGCCTTACAGCTGAATCTCATGGCGGCATTTCCTCAACTGAGGCTTCTTCCTCTCTGATGACTCTAGCTTGTGTCAAGTTGACACAAAACCAGCCAGTACAAAATCCAGAGCAATCTCTTAACATTCTTAATAAAACAGCAATGTTAAACTACAAAATTAAAGCTGAAAGTACTGACCTTTCTCAAAGTGGACATAAAATTACTCAGTAGGTCATCTGCAAGCCCTACATATAAATTTGAGATATTCACATAGTTTAATCTATAACCTAAGTAACCTTCCATGAAAAGACATGGCCATTTAAGTAACCCTGCCTACACTTTCATCTCCTTTGACATCTCCCTTTCCTTGTGCAGGACACCTACGCTACCACTCTTTATCTGCTCCTGAATACTCAGTATTCTGCTTCCCAGTTAGACACAGAACCTCTCAAGGGCTTTACAGCACCCTGAAGACTGGATGGAAACTATGATGGTAACTGTGTGCTTGTGTGAATTATAAAGCTAAGACTAACAGCTGGGATACACTTTTATTGAAATATAAACCCTAGATAGTTAAGGATGTGGTTACTATAAAATCTCTCCAAGTTTCAAAACCATTTGTTTTTAAAATTATCAAAGTATGGCCAGGTGCAGGGATGAACACCTCTAATCTCAACACTCAGGAGGCAGAGGCAGGTAGACTTCCATGAGTTCAAGGCCAGCCTGAACTACCTAAAGAGGACAGCCAGGGCTATCTAATGAGAACCTGTTCCAAACAAAAAAACAAAGTAACACACTCTTGTAGAGTCAGTTTACTTCTTTTTTTTTTTTTTTAAGATTTATTTATTTATTATGTATATAGCCATGTATGACTACAGGCCAGAAGAGGGCACCAGATCTCATTACAGATGGTTGTGAGCCACCATGTGGTTGCTGGGAATTGAACTCGGGACCTTTGGAAGAGCAGTCAGTGCTCTTAACCTCTGAGCCATCTCTCCAGCCCCAGTTTACTTCTTAAAGGTAAATAAAAAAAATTGATTGAAAGTAGAAATGTTATATTTCTAGGAAAACAAACAAAAGATTATTGCAAATATTCAATACAATTTATAGTTCATTTCATTTTAGATTCTTTGATTTTTTTTCCTAATAAAATATCTAAACAAGTTCCCTATGACTAAAAACAAGCAAAAAGTGTGTTCAATCCTAATGTACTTGTCTAAAACAATTCGGAATCCTCAAAGGTAATTAATTAATAAGGAAACCTAAAGGTAAGTGATTTAAGTTTTAATCCCAGAATCGTACCTAACAGATAGCTGTTAATAAATGAATCTCAAACAAGCAAACAAATGAAAACTCACTTACCTGGGGTGTAAAAACGAATGTGTCTGAGAAACATGGTCACCTTCCTGTTTTATAACCGGGTACCAGGATGGCAATTCCATTCCTGATGGTGTATCTGTCTGTAGGAGTACGTAGAAAGGAAAGTTACTGAGGGGAAAGATGATTTCTCTTTGTCTAGTGTGGCCCTGGCCATAATAGAAAGCATGCCAACCACTGGGCTTCACAGCCATCCCCTGAAGCTAATCTTATGCCCACTTGGCAGGGCCATAGACCAAGTGTCATATTTTTAAGACATATCTACTAAGTGCTCTACCACAGGGCTATGTCTCATCCTTAAAGCTCAGCGATCACCACTACCTGGTCCCAAGTTTTAATATGCACATTCAAATGACATGGCTTAACAGACACCATTTCATACCTGGGGAATCGATTTCAGACAATAGAACAGGACCCTGAAAACACACAGCACTTTCCAGAATTTTAACTAGACACTTGTCTACAGCAGTAAGTACTCTGGCCAATTCAATCTAAAACTACTGTACTTGCTAATAAGAATCAGTAAACCATATTCCTCATATTAAAAGCTTTTTAAAAGCACCTATAAATAAAGAAACGGGGATAATAACCAGTGATTTCATAAATATTACTGGCTGAAAATGTTACACACTCTGCTTAATTCTAATAACTGTCCCCTCCATTAAGAATGACCATTATCCCACTCACACTTTCAAAACAACTTTAAAAGAATGGATTATCTATGGTTCCCGCATCTTCCTTATTCTGGCTTGCTTTATATTTTACCCTCCTCACCTACTCCATTACAGTCATTGCCCTGCTCTTGTGGGAAAACAGAAAGCAAGGGTCCCTGACAGAAAAGGGAAAGAGGAGCTGAAAGGTGCCAGACTGAGGCAGATGCCAGACAGGATGTTGACAGATCCAAGAAAGTGAGTTCAAGGAAGGCCAGCCTAGAAGGACACCTGGAGGCTTTCCTCAACTCTTGCCTGAGAGGCTCCGACCCCTCCGACCCCATCTCCAACTCAGAAGTCCATGGAGAAGCTCACAGTGAAAACACAGGACCGTGGCTGTAGCTCGGTGGAGAGGACTTGCCTGGCATACGCGAGACTCTGAGTTCAATTTCCAGAACCACACATAAAAAAGTCCCTCACCCAAGGGATGATCGCCAACACTAAGAATTGGGGAAGCTGGTAATATGTCCCAGTATTTTAGGTTAGGAAAGAACACAAAGGAAAGATATGCAGTTCTTATTAAAAGTCAAATCAACTCTGAACGGTCTGGGGGCTGGAGTGGAAGACATCTTACTAATGGAGAAAACAATGTAAATGAAGAAACTCTGGAGAGACCAGACAAACAGCCCAGTGACCAAAACAAAAAAAGCCAAAACCAGAAGGACTAATTCCTAGAATAAACATTCTTTACACAACTTCACAATCCGAAATGACTTTAATGCCAATAAAAAAGTTTTTGAAAACAAAAAACAAAAAGCAAGGCTGAGTGAGGTGGCTCAGTGTGTTAAGAGACACCTGGCACTAAGCCTGAGATGCTGAGTTCAACCTCTGGAACCCATACAGTGGAAGAAGAGAAGTGACCCCACACATATGACATGGTACATGATCTCCCCCAAATAAATAAACACTATTTTTAAAATTCAGGAAAGTAGCCGGGCAGTGGTAGCGCACACCTTTAATCCCAGCACTCAGGAGGCAGAGGCAGGTGGATCTCTGTGAGTTCGAGGCCAGCCTGGGCTACAGAGAGAGTTCCAGGAAAGGGGCAAAAACTACAGAGAAACCCTGTCTCAAAAAACCAAAAAAAAAAAAAAAAAATTTCAGAAAAGTAAAAAATGAAAACATGGTCATTTGTATTGCTGAGAGATCTGTATGTTTTCTAACAATTATTGGATGAGGAATTTAAAATACAAATAAGTACAAAATTATAGGGGTAAAGAATATTTATAAATCAATCTTTATTTTTTTACATGTGTATAAATATTTTGCTTGCATGTATGTCTGTGGATCATGTGCATACATTATCTGTGGAAGCTAGAAGACAGCTTGAGATGCCCCGGAACTAGAGTTACAGATGGTTGTAAGCCACCTTGTGGGTAGTGGGAATCAAACCCAGGTCCTCAAAAAGAGCAACCAATTAACTGTTGAGCTATCACAAGAAAAGAATACTTTAAAGGGGTTTAAGAGTTGGTTATCCATTGAAGACTTCTATGTAAATAGACTATTTTTTTTCTGAAAACTTTACAAAGCTGGTAAAATGGTCATAAGATTCAAATAAACATCACAATTCTGATGTATAATTCAGGATCTGGGCAGACTCAACCACTTATTTACAAAGTAAACCAATCAATTGTTTGCAGTTTCTCAGCCTACAGCAGATTAGAACTGACTTCTGGCAACAAATACTAAATGAGAAATGTCCACAAACAGCTGACAACCTGAGAGAAAAGAAAATTACAAAATATAAACATGAAAATTGCTATAGAGCAAGACAATCTGAGGGTGTTAGCATAGATCAGGACAAGTCATTCACTACAGTTCGATTGTGTATGACTCACATAGTACTTTAACTTACTATGGTTAACTGGTACTTAAGTCTTGAATTCAGATGACATCATCAAATTATATTCTGTATACTACTTAGATCTAAACTTTTGAAACACTTCCATTCATCTTAAATGTTTACATTTTTAGGGATCTGAAGCATGGCTCAGCTGTTAGAGCACTGGATGCTCTTGCAGACAACCTAGGTTCACCCCGACAACCAAACAGAGGCTCACAACCATCTGTGACTCTAGTTCTGGGGGATCCAGCTCCCTCTTCTGATCTCCAAGGGCTCCAAGCACATATGTAGTGCACTTACATCTATACATCCAAACAAAATATTCATACGCAGAAAAAAAATAAACCTTAAAAGTTAAAAAGGGGGCGGGGTTGCGCAAGCCTTTAATCCCAGTACTTGGGAGGCAGAGCCAGGCGGATCTCTGTGAGTTCGAGGCCAGCCTGGTCTACAGAGCGAGATCCAGGACAGGCACCAAAACTACACTGAGAATCCCTGGGGGGGGGGGGTGTTTAAGATGGGTGTGGCTGCACATACCTCCAAAAAAACACTTTGGAGGCAGAGGCAGGTAGAGCTCTGTGAGTTCGAGGCCAGCCTGGTCTATATAGTGAGAAGCCATCTAAAAAAAATAACAATAATAAAAGTTAAAAAGAACCAAATGGCACATTTATTTCCAAATTTTTTATATTTTTTTAAATTGTGATTCTTAAAAGAGCAGCTTAACAGACAAAACACTTGGCATTCCAGCTCCATTTGTAAGAGGCGTTGATGAGCATCAGTAAATTAACAAACCATGGGAATCTAAGACAGCGTGAATTAAATTAAATGTTTTGGTTAAACTCACTTTAAAAAATCTCCTTAATTGGTCTGATATATTAAACAATTCTAGATATGCTGCCCACTAAACCATTTTCAGACTGACTTTTAAAAGTTCAAATCACTCAAGTGGACCACATATTGAAAAGGGTTTCCTAGTATAGATACTGGAATCTGAAATCTTCAGAATAACTTGCAAAAGTTTTTCAAAAACTCTGATTTGGAATCTGACAACTTTAAGTATTAAGTTCATTTCAAAACTCTACTTTGACTTGTGTGATAATTTTATTCAATTTTATTTTTGAGACAGTGTCTCATTATGTAGGTAGACTAGGCTGGCCTTGAACTCTGAGATCTAATTGCCTTTGCTTCCCAAGTACTAGGATTAAAGGCTTGAGCCACCGTGCCTGGTGATGCCTTTATTTCAGCAATTTCTCTAATTCTGAAACATCACCTTAAGTAGCTGCATTTGTTTATTTATAAACATTCATTCTCAATTTCTATTCTTTATTTCCTATTCTCACATCAATCTACCAACAGAACCACAGACCTATTTCTCCATTTCTATTCTTTATTTCCTATTCTCACATCAATCTACCAACAGAGTCACGGACCACAGGTTCTGAGCAAATCCCATGTCCTAGACCGCTTTCTGCTACTCTGCTAAATCCCATGACTAAAAGCAATTTGGGGAAAGGATTTATTTGGCTCACACTTGCAGTTAGTAGTCCATCACTATGGGAGGTCAGGACAAGAACTTGAGGCAGGACTGAAGCAGACACCCACAGAAGGAGGCTGTTTACTGTCTTGCTCCCTGACCTCTGCTCAGCTCGCTTTCTTATATAGCACAAGATCTCCTGCCTATGGCTGAAACTGCCTACAGTGGGGTGAGACCTTTTACATCAATTAGCCGTCAAGGAAATGCCCCACAGGTAAGTCACACACAAGCCAATCTGATCTGGACAATGCCCCAAGTGAGGTTCCCTCAGATAACTTGAAGTGCGCCAAGCAGACAACTGAAGCTAACTAGAATACTCCCTTTAACGATTATCTGGTATTGTCTCTAGCCAATGTCTAAGTCCCAATTTCACCCTAGTAAGTGGCTATCCAGATTCTGAACAGTAACTTCAGGTCAAGCACATTTTTGCTTTTGTATTTCAATGCCTAGCACCATGCCTACCATGCAGTATTTGCTGAGTGACTGTGAATGACGGGGTAGCTCAGTGACTCAGGATAGCACTGTACAGTTATTGTGGCAAAGAGCTAGCTGCAATGGTTCCATGGCCGAGCATCTGTCTGCCTAGCATCTGTGAGGCTGTGGGTTCAACTCCAGCACCAGCAAAGAGGAGAGGAGGCCAGGACAAAGGAGGGAGCAGCACACGGTTACTGACCACCAACTCCAAAGACAGCCACATCGGGCACCTTCTCCTGCAGGAAGCACAAGGGAGCTGAACATGTTTGGCTGCATTTTCTCAGATGTACAAATGAAATAATACAAATCCTAAGAAAATGCACAATGCCAGCAGTGATAAAGTACTGCAAGTTAATTTTGCCTAAAATGCTGTGGTAAGCCATAAACACATCTAACAAATTATCCTAACTACATGTTAAAAACAATTAAGCACACATTACAAAACGAAACATTCACAGACACGCCAGATTTTCTCTCCTAAGCCTACATTTGTGTCAACATACAAATTAGGTTTTCGGAAAAAAGAAT